AAAATATGTTATATAGGTACCTATGGTAATTTTAACTTAATTTCCAAGCCGGTCAATGTTACCCCATCACGGCTGCCATTAGGTTGTCAAAGTTTCCCCATTGGGGGGCAGTGCCCCCCATTTGCAAACTATGACACTTTCCTAAAATTTGGCATTTGCATATGTAACTAGAAGAGTTCTACTACAATGCATCAAAACCTGGAGTTATTTCATCAAAAAATGAAAAAATTGGAGGGGGTACTCTGACAGGCTTTAAATAATAGCTCTTTTTTGTGGGTCACATTTTTAATTTTTTAACCTATTAGATATGCAAACTTTTTAAATCTTTCTATTGGGTTACGTAGCCTCAGTATTAGGCCTTTAATGGCCATTGACATAATTTTTCTATGTCAAATAGTTTTTGAGCTTTGGGGGTTTTTGTTAAAAAACAAAAAGTGGTCAAAGTTACCCCGGGAGTCAAAGTGACCCCATTTTATGGTATGATACTAAATTACTAATGCTGCTATCCATGATACCTCACTGCTCTACTTATTGGACTCAAAAATGAACTTGAAGCTAAGTTTTAAAATATTTCTGCTCCAATGCCAATCGCACCATGTATAATTTCAGAATCCTTATTGGCTTTGTTAGTTAGTAAGGTTCCAAACCAAGAATCATGGTGCCATAGTCAGCCATAGTGACAAATTATAAACTCTTCATAAATTAGAATCAGTTCAATATTAATTTCTTCATCTACTAAAGATTTAAATAAATTTTCTTATGTATGATAATGCTGATGTCCATCATACTTCACTGTTCTACTTATAGGACTCAAAAATGAACTTAGGAAGAGTCTAAAAAACTCTCTGCTCTGCCATCAGTATGAATGGTGGCAGACAAGGGATTCCTTTGTTGGCCTTCCCTTGTGCCTTTTGGCCAGTGGCAATTTGCCAGCCTCCAATCTCTTCCTTTTGGCCAGCCTCCATTCTCACCAACCTCCTTCTCTCCCTCATTCTCCATGCACTCTCAAAAAATTGCTCTCTACTCTCAGTCATAGCAGCAGTCACCCCTGTTGACGGTCCCACTATCATTGAAATCCATTTGTCTCCTATTTACTCATACATCACACAATTGTCCTCATCCCTCTCCTCCTGTATGACTCTCATCATTTCCAGTCTCTCCCTCTCATATGCATCACACTCCATATCAGATGCTCCTCAGCTTTCCTCTCCCCTCTGTCACACATAAAACAAATATCCTCTCTTCTTTCATTCCACCTATTTGCCCGTGCATTCACATTCAAAGCATTTGCTCTCACACAGAAAATTGGGGCCCCACCTCTACTTCCATCTTATATGTACTCATACTTTGGCATCACTTTCATCATGTACAATGTCAGGCTCTCCAATCTTTCCATTCCTTGCTTTCATACTCTTGAACAACATAATTTCACTCCTTTCTATTTATTTCTTCCATTCTTCGGCATCCCATTTGATCCCTGTTACACCCTATATATACTGTTATCATCCATTCCTCTCTTGTTCTATTATTCCCAGAGAAAGCCCATGTTTCATGAAACTCACACTTGCAAACTATTGCATGACACTTACCGGTACATTCCCATTTGCTCATTCTCAAGTTTCACAAGTACATCTTATGCACCCAACATACATCATCCATTCTTTCCAGTTATACTTTATATCTAAATGCTGCTGTCATTCTTCTCGCTCTAAACATACTCCATCCCATGTAATGTAATGTGGGGTTCTGTAGAAGTTAATTTAATCATGTTATTGTCATTGATGTTATTTATTTCTGAAATCTCGTGGTATCTACAAAATAGGAAAGAAGGAAATCCCTAGTGAGAAGACAGTTGCTTAAAAGGAATATATTTTCCTCATATCTTAGAAGATTTGTTATAAAAAATGTATAGTACTATTAGAGACAATTATCTATGTATGGTATGGACAAATACAATTGCAAGTTATCCTGATGATGCAAATTTGTTTTCTGGTGTACCTACTGCCTATGATTTTCCAATATTTGCTAATTTTCTGCATTCTATTTACATAAAAGATGTACCATCAAACGGGGTAAAAAGGGACAGTTTTGAGCGTTTTTTGTTAATAACTTCTTACCATGAAACATTTCAGAAACAAGTTTAGGCTCATTTTATAGCTCTTTGCAAGGGCTATCGAATGGCATCTTCAAAAAAATCCATATGCTATTCGTAAGGTGCCAGAGGCAGAATAAAACCGTCCCGATTTACTCCTGGGAACGAGGTAATCCGGGACACTTGCAATAAAAGTTCATTTTAAAACGTTTGAAACATGCAGAGTGTACTCATCCATTACTAACAGTACTCTGAAGTCCTCCTCTTTCATTGTAGATGATGTAGAGGTAGAATAAATGACATTTTCTGTGATTTTTACTTGTTTTTCCTTTATTGATATGATATTACCATATTCATTAATTACCGTATTATTAATGTGATATTAGTCATCATATTACTGTATCCATGGACATGCCATTGAGCATTGACAATGACCTTGTTCACTGCAAGCTTCATATCAGCAGCCATGCAGCATTTCTTCTGTATCTGTAAGCTTACAGTCCTGACAGTAATTTTGCACAATTTTAATCGAGTCAAGTGATTTCACAATAACAAAAAAGATTGTGAAAAACATACCTGAAACAGAAAATAATGTTTTAGTGACAACCATCATATGTTTTGGAGAAATAAATAGATCAATTACTTTTCATTCTATGATGCCCGGTGCACAATTCTATGGTATATCATTCTATGTACAATTTTGTGATGATCGATGGTGCACTAATTTTTTGATAAGTGAATTTTTTTCACTGAGCAAGGTAAATGTAATCAAAGTTCTTTGTTGTTAATCAATTTTTTTGTTAACTGGAGCCTTTGCTAACTGAGGTTCTACTGTATATGCATTTTTAAGGGTGTCCCTAATTACCCTGGGGGTGTCCCTTTTTACCCCGTCGCGCGGAAATGGCTGCCATTTTTTTTTAATGAGATAGGCAAATTCCGTCAATTACGTTTTCAAGCCGATACCTGGGTGCAACTTTTATGTAAGTAAAATTTTTTAATACAGCAAATATTTTTTTTTGTTCCAGACCTTAGCAGAGGTAGGTACTTTTCCAAAATTGCACTTTTCACACTTTTTTTCAGCGATTTTTTAAAGATAGTTAATGTACGATTTCCTGACTAGCTTTATACATAATAGATAGTAAAAATGTTGAAGTTTACGCCACTTATTTTAGTTTTGCAATATTTTGATAAGTTTAGCTGCTACAACATTTCTAGGAAATGTGGGACTCGCATCCCGATTTACCCCGCCCATCCCTTTTTACCCTGTTTGATGATACCTAGTGCTATATATTGATATAAAAACTAGATACTAGGTATATTCTATATATTTATTTTTATATACTTGTGCAAGTTTCTTTTTGTGCTGTTACGTATGTTTGTTTGAAACCTACCTGGCACTTGAAAGATTGGTTCTAGTACACATAAGCAATAATTTATTATCAAGTTATTACCTGGACCTTTGAAATTATTTTTAGTGGGAGTATTGTATATGTATTTTAGCATACATAAGTTTCATCATTACTCATGTGACTCATTATGATGAGATTCTAAAGTTGCTGCATTTAATAATCCCTGGTCAAGTTAGTCTTCGCTGCTGGTAGTGTTTATTTCTGGGTCCTCCAACTTGTTCTATATTCATTTCAGACATATCAAAATGTTGTGAAATAAAAAAGCTACCACTTACCAACATACATACGTATATCCTTTCATACCAAATTTTAAACTCACCATAAATTCATCACTCACTTCACAGTCACAGTCTTATAATTAAAAAGTGCAATCAGGTCCTTAAGCTATTATTTTTAAACAGATGTACAGTGGGGGGAAATAAATATTCGTACACTTGAAAAATCGTATTTTAATGTATGTAAGTACCAGTGGTGGGCACAGTTCCGCTAACCGCTAATTAGCGAAGCTAACTTTTTCCTTATCGGATTAGCTGTTCAGCTAACTTTGAAAACCTTTAGCGGACCAATTAGCTTCCGCTAAATTTAGTTCCGCTAACTGGCAGTCCGCTAAAAATGTTTTAAAATCTCTGATGTAATGCTAAGTATTGTAAGCCGTGTGCCACGCCCACACTGATGGCTGACTACGACATCAAATGTTCGTCAGCCAATCACGTCTTGTGTTACTGGCAGTAACACAACACGTCCTGTACTGCAGTCTGGCAATGCTGGCAGGCATCACGAAAAGGTTTTGGTCCCTCCTAGAAGACAAGGAGTGCCAGCTGGCAGCGGCCTTCCACCCTAAGTTTTGCCTGTTCTGGCTGGAAAAGCATAATCGCAGCCATCTCAGCAGGGTCTGTCTCTTATACACATCTAGATGTGTATAAGAGACAGGAGCTGTAGAGGGTGATCACAATACAACGTCAATGCTTGAAGTTAATTACCGCAAAAATACGAATAATTAATGCCGCAAAAAAATTCATTTATATTAAAAATTCATTCATTAACATACGTCTGGGCAGCATATACTTCACCAACAAAACATCAGCATTAAATTCAGTCATTTCATTTCATTTGCCTTGGCTCTAATAAATATGACGTTCAATTTCAATAGACTTACCACAAATCATCTGCATAATTAAGTTTAGTCAGGTAAAAATTAGTTTTATGTGAATTACAAGTATTAAACTCCGAGGACTATGTGACAGTTTCAAATTTATTTGAGAATGAAATTCTGCATCGTAGATTCCNATTGTTTTTTGTTGCATTGAGATTTAATTTCTTTTGATAGTATTTTTGAATACTATGCGTCTCTATACATAATTTAAATCACTTTTCCTGTTAAGTTTGTGTACTTACATACATTAAAATACGATTTTTCAAGTGTACGAATATTTATTTCCCCCACTGTATGTAATACCTATAATTGATGAATTTCTAATATTTTTCCCTCTTCAGGTCAGTATTTGCAAGGCATACTTGTGTGCATAATTGCTAATTATGGTGCAATTGATTCAAGATTGCCTCAGACTATTGTTAGTGTCATTTTTGCTGAGCTGTTCTCTTGGCTCTGAAGTCCTGAGACCAAGAGGGGTTTCTCTTATCAGTAAGTATATTTTCAGGTGATCTTCAGGTCATATTAGTCAGTTCTGGTGTCAAAATTTTATTTCATAAATTTATACCTTTCAATGTGGATGTCTCATGAGAATAATTTCATGCTTTTTTGATCTGTTTATACCAAATTCAGTTTTGTAGATTAATTGTGCATACCAGTTATAAAAAATGTATCCATTAATTAAAAGAAATTAATTTAGAAGCCTTATCATTCTTATGGCTGAGAAATATTTCAATTAGTCAAAAGTATCTCTGTGTTTACATTGCTTTATCTCTGACAGAGGCATCTCTGTATGATCCAGCCAGAGACTTCAGTTGCCTGGATGGCTCCGGCACTATTCCCTTCCGTAATGTGAATGATGATTACTGCGACTGCAGAGATGGCAGTGATGAACCAGGCACCTCTGCCTGCCCCAACGGTGAGAATTGTCTGGCCAGTTTCTAAAATGTTATCATTCTAGCCAATATCTTTGTGGAGAAGTGTTTCTCCTACATTCTCTTGATTGATCTGAATTTTTAAGAAAGTTACGTAGTATTTCAGAGAGTGTTCAATGATTTAAAAAAAGTTCAAATTTGTCTCTGTTCATTTCCATTTATAAATGTTAGTTTTAGATTGCCATTAATTGGATTTACTACATGTTTATAAAATATAAAGCTGCATTCTTTTGATTGTATGAATGATTTACCAGATGTACATTTCCTCATCACAATTCTCTACATCCCATTATTTTAATTACATTGTGTATCAGTAGTCATGGTTGGTTACCTATTTCTTTGAAATTTACTATAAATAAGTGGAGTTATACTGCAGCTGTAAAACACCTTCACAATTTTAGATTCTTGTCATTACTGTTAGAACACAATTTACTAACTTTCACCTTCATACAGAAACAGAAAAAACCCACATAAGTCCTAGAAAACCCAAATATTTGAAAAATTGTATTTAAATGAAAATATAATTCAGGGTGCATACTGGTCATGGAAAACCTGGAAAGGCATGGAATTTGATTTTTCATTTTCCAGGCCTGGAAAGTCATAAAATTTGCAAATAAATGAAGAAAAAAGGGAAGCCTTTTTCTGTGCTGCATGTGTTAACCCATTAATGCTGAGTGGTTCCATTTGGAACCAGCAGAGAAACATGGATTCATATTAAAATTGTAAGATCAAATTAATATACAAGTGGATGAGTAGGTTTGATGCACATCTTTTTTTTTTTTTTTTTTTTTTTAAAGGCCTCCCACACTCACCATTCCAACAAAAAAAAAAAGAATTGATTTTATTAATTAAAAACAGGGAATGGTTTCATGTCAATGATCAGTGGAGTGACGATATGAACGCAGGGAGCGCGATGTCCTTTGACATACGGATACCCAGGCCTCCCAGCCGGACCGGCAACACAGCTTGTTCAAGAGATTCGCGCTCGAAGCTGACATTGATGATGGTCGAGAGGGCAGAAACCAACACCTCATCGAACCGCTCCAAATCACCTACCCGCATATATGCAGGAGACGCACGTAGGACGTACTGGAGTTTAGGTAGAGCGAAACAATTCTTTAAAAGCGTAAATGCTTGATGACTACATGACATCTTGTACATGTTCTGGCAAAGTTTGATTCTGCTGCGCTGACTACTCTCTTTTCAGTTAACATTCAAAGATTACCAGAACCAGGTCATGGAATTGTCATGGAATTTTTTTCTAAATACCGGTATGCACCCTGATAATTCCTTTTGTTGCCTCCTCTCTCATCAGGTTTCTTCCACTGCTCCAACAAGGGTCACATTCCTCTGGATGTTCGCTCATCTCGTGTCAACGATGGCATCTGTGACTGTTGTGATGCTTCTGATGAGTGGGCCAGTGGAGCAGACTGCACTGACCAATGCCAGGTTACCTATATTTTTGTTTGAATTGAATCATGCATGAATTAAGAATTTATTGTGGTAAGTTAGAGACTTTTTTATTATCTTCGTTTATAAGGCCTATGAGTAGACCAGTTGAGAATGCTGGGCACTAGAACTATTATATATAGATATTGAATGAAATTTTGAACTACCTATATCATGAAATCTAAAGTGAGCTGTACTCGAAAAAATCTTTGATTGCCACTATGATTTAGATAAATATCTTATTTTTTTCCTTTTTGATGCAGAGTTTTATACATGTGAATGAAGATTTGGGCCTTTTTTTTTGATGAGGCTTCCTCCTGTTACTATTTCTTGTAACAAAATTATTCCATTGTAAAATTGTCCGCTCAATAATGTTATTTTGAATTTCTAGGAATTTGGGCGGGCAGCGCGAGAAGAAGCTCTACGTAAGGAGGAAGAATCCAAGAAAGGCTACTCCCTCAAGCTTGGCATGATAGAGCAGGGCAAGAATATGAAGCAGGAGAGAAAAGTAAGATACATCGCTAGTTGAACCGTCAATAAACAACTCCATATCAGTCACTTATTCACCTTATTTTGCTCCAATTCCATTCTTTAAATACTAAAATTTTTCTCACGAGTGAGTTTTATTTTATATACGATTCCAAATATGTCATAAATGTAAATATAATAGAATTTTAAATTGTTATAGTCCGATAATATTTGTCATGAATGAGTCAACTCTGTATTTTTGGGAGAACTTGAGTCCTCAAAGATCACCTGCGTTGAATTACCTTGGAAATATAAATGTAGTGAAGGAATTACTTTACCTATCAAAATCTGTGGCGTTGTATGTGGAAATCTTATTTTAAATTAACACTATAATCCATATATAACAGCTAACTTCCTTGCATTTACAGAAATTCCAAAATAGCCTTTCACGACATGCACAAGAAATATAGAATAGTTTCTCTGAAATTAAATCCTCTATAAATTCATTTAAATAATAAGATTTCACTTATTATACACCATCAACAAATTTCCTTTTCACCAGCTATTGGTCTTCCACAACTGCTGAATGATAAACATTGATGAATGAATTGTACAAAGTAGGTTCATCATTCTATCTTCTAATTTACAAATTGTCTTTCAGGAGAAAATAGCTTTGATAGAACTTGAGCTTCAGCAAGCCGAGTCTGTGCGAGCTGAGCAAGAAACTTTGAAACTGGCAGCAGAGGAGCTGGAATCTGCGGCTCTAGAGCAATACAAGGAAGCCAACGAGGCCAAGAAAGCGGCTGAAGATGCCATCAAGTTGGCAGCAAGTGAGGCTGAGGCTAAAGAAGCCTTTGGCGAGCTCGACACCGATGGGGACGGAGCCGTGACCAAGCAGGAAGTCCAAGCAGACACAACCTACGACACCAACCGCGATGGCAGCGTGTCTGATGATGAAGCTACGGTAAGTTCAATATTGACTATATATTACGATATATTGTCAATAAGCACAAATACAGTGAATATTGACTTCCAATATTGGGATATATTGTCAATAAACACCTATACAGTGAATATTGACTACCAATATAGGGATATATTGTCAATAAACATGAATACAGCGAATATTTGCTGGATGTGACAATGATCAAGGCTTCCAAGAGGCCTGTTTGTCGTTCCTGTTTGCTGCGCAATGCGCGAGTTGGCATTTCAAAGTTTTACTCCACATTCTGACAAGATGGCGAATAGACTTCAGGCATGTCATTGCAAAGAAAGCAGCCCATTTGAATTCATCTATCGTCGTTACCGTCACAAGTGGCTGTGGTAAAACTCCATTACATATTACATGATGTCTTGAAATCGCCACAAATCCATTTCTGGACTCCTCCTGTTAATTCATGATTAATTGAATATTGGCAAAAAAATAATGCATATGCAATTATGTTATATAAGCAGGTAAAAATGAAAATAAACGACTGCAGAACAACACAATGCATTCACATTGATATTTAAGTTATTATTTTGACGGCCTTGGTTTTCACACGATGTTAATAACAGCATCAAGAGAGACAGTAAGTATAGTATGAATCTGTAGCCACATCGAATGAGCTTCAGAGGCTTAGGTAAGTTGATTATATTGTTGTGGGTTGAACTGTGAGTTGAACATGAGCTTGTTGAAACAATCAAATAGCTTTTCTTGATACTTTAAGATTGTGGGAGTTCACTGCTTCTTTTTTGTTTTGAATAGCGTGATCAACCAACACTGCGTGTACTAATAACGCTAATGATTGTAAGGAAATTCAAAGCATAATTGCGTCAAAGTCTAATTACCAAAGTTGTCTTTGCATTTGCATTTTAATCAAGTTTAATGGATATGACCCTCGCAGAACATTTTAAATTGAATGTTATACTTTTGCGCTCCCTTAACCTTTTTGGCAGCTACCACTGAACAAAATGTGGTGATGTAACATTTATTTGAAGATAGAGTACTAATGCGGATAGAAATTTTGAAAATATTACTGAAGAATTCTAATACCAGCTTGATCAGAACGTTTATACTTTGTTCTTCTTCAATCTGCTAAGATAGTTTGGTATAATTCTAACTCAAATCAACCAGTAGACCGCAAAATAAAGAATGAGGCAATTTAATATTTCTATTTAATAATAATATATGATTACTTTCCCCTAAGAAATGGTGTCATAATGTCGAAATCGACATGATAGAATTATGACCTTGAAAGTACCTACGTATTTAGATACAGAATATTGGGCGAAGGCGTAAAGCTAGTGGATAATGGCAAGCATGTAACTTGATGATTATAATTAGAAATGCAATTGATGTAGATGCCTGGGTTCGGCCCAACCTCTTGTCTTTAATTCTGATGAAATTCTTCTCTTATAAAAGCCCAATAATTTACCAGACCTATCTAGATCATGATTTGTCTAGGTCTGGTTGTTGCTAGCTACAGCAATTATTTTGTTTGATATATTTTGCACGTGCGAGTTTCTATGTGAATTCAGCTATAATTCTAATTACGTACGTGTTCCACGCTGTTTTGATTGTACATGAAAACAGCACCATTACATCAGATATAAAAAAGTTGTTTTATACTAGGTATGTTCTGTGCAAGGTTAATTGGATGTATGCGTGCATTTCTAAATGGGCATTTTGTGTTTGTGTGTGCAGCAGTTCTGTATTGTGTGTGGAGTTTACCTTTTAAAATCCAGGCACTTGTTTTATGTTTTTGTACTGTGATTTAAATTGTAGCACAGTTCTAATTTACTGTGTGTTCATCAAACATGCTCAGAGAAAACTGTGAATCTTTGTCCAAATAGTGATGCAGTATTTACTCTTGTGTGGTTTTTCCTGAACCAGTTTGGCCAGGCTAAAACGCGTATCTGTGCTGCGTGCAAAATGTGTCACGTATTGGACAATGCTTCAAAATTTTCTATGTGCATCGTCTAAAAATGGTCATGTTTTGGACAATATCTCATATTTTCCTGAGAGCGCTGTAATAGCTCTATATTATGTGTGGAGTTGAACGTACTAATTACACGTGGTGTTGCACGGTGTGGGCAGTTCTACATGCAGCACGCAGACTCGCTCGACTTCCACGAGTTCTTCACTAAAAGTTGGCACCTCATGCGTCCAGCTTATCATGTCGCTAAGAACAAGGCTGGGGCGCCGCCCCCTTCACTCTTTACTCCACCTTCCACTACCCCACCACCTCCCCCTCCTCCACATTCAGAAGAAAAGGTAAAGCGTAGTATTATTGTTTATTATTGCTGTATTAGTTTTTCGATGCAGTGCAGCAATTTAATGCACGTTTATCACAGTAAAATGAAGCAGACGTTCCGGTTGCTCCAGCGAAATCCAGGTGAGCATTAATATATTTTCATCCATTCTGTAGTATTATTCATTAATACGCGTTTTGGTGCTGAAATCATAGCATCAATGCTCGATATGAGGGCCTCTTGACGTATAGAAGATGATTATGATGCTATATCAGTCCTTTAGTATGAGGTGGTTTTCATAACATACGTTTAATACGAGTCTAAAGCACTTTCAATCACGTTGATATAGACCGACCAAAAAATTATGGACATTTTTTCCTAATACGATACATTCAACCTCGCGATTAGTTATGAATAATATACATTGATTGCGGCAATGACTGAGATTTTTTAAACTTTTCTTCTTGCAATCTTCTGCTTATTTGTTTTGAGTAATAAACGAGGATTACCATTTCATTCTTTGCAATCTTACACTTAATTGTGTCAAATAATAATCAAGGATTGGCATTTCATTCTTGCAATCTTACGCAGAGTGTCGATGACGAAGGAGAGGACGAAAGTTTACTGGACGATGACGAGGAGAACCCAGAAGATGAAGATGACTATGATCCAGAGTTGGATAATGTGGATGAAGGGCTGCTGGACGAGCCTACTGAAGTGCCTGATGTTGTTTATGATGATGAAACGCAGGGCCTGGTAGATGGTGAGGATTAAAGCTGTGTTATTTTTGCGCTAAGTAATATTAATTGAGGTCTGAATTTTAGTTTTGTGTGTAAGAAATGATATAAGAATTGGCTTAATTGTCAGATTTAAAGTAATATCTTTATATAATAATACCTATTTAATTAAATTTAAATTAAATTAACAAACTGTTATTAATTAAATTAAATTTAATTATTAATTATTCCATCAATATTCGCTCCGTGCTCAGACAGCTCCTTCATCATCGTGTGGAATAAAAGCCCGTAGTATCTATGATGCTGGTCTAGGGTTCACTCAGAAATATGAATGAGTCTTGTCCAAATAATGACGCACTTTTGACGTGTAGCGCTGATACTACTCGTTTGTTCTTGGTCAGAATGACCCACTCAAGTGCAAAAAGTGCACCGCTATTTAGACAATCTCACTAATTTTGTTGAGTGTAAACGAGAAGATCTGCAATTAGGTTAGGTTTTGTGACCACCATGTTGACCTTGATAATTTTCGACCATTTAAATCTTCCTCTTAATTCTTGATAATAACCGGTTATTTCTAAATATTTACTTCTTCCTCATAACCCTTGACATCTTTCTCATCATCATTGACACATTTTTCATAATTTTGACACCTTTTAATTAATATTTGCCGCCCTTCCCATAATCTTTGGCACCATTTTCGGAACCTTAGATAGATATCCTCACAATAATGTTCATGAAATTACCTTCAAAGAGAAATCATTCGAGTTGTTTTAACTATTATTTAGGTCAAATAATATTTATTAATTATTATTAAATTAATATAATATAATCGAACAACTATTATCATTGAACAATTCAAAGAGAAATGATTTGAGTTGGAAATCATGATGTTTTATTTGCAGCCGCGAACGCCGCACGTTCATCCTACCAGGATGCGCAGCGCAGCGTCGATGCTCTGAAGAAGCAGCTCTCCGAAGAGCAAGCCAGTCTCGACAAAGACTTCGGACCTGAGGACGAGTTCAGAGTCTTTGAGGGACGCTGCTTCGAGTACACCGACAGAGAGTACACCTATAAACTCTGTCCTTTTGATACGGTGTGTTGCCGTTTGCTCTGTTCTCTGTCCAGTGTTTTGCCATTTGCTCTGTCCTCTGTCCAGTGTGTTGCCATTTGCTCTGTCCTCTGTCCAGTGTGTTGCCATTTGCTCTGTCCTCTGTCCAGTGTGTTGCCATTTGCTCTGTCCTCTGTCCAGTGTGTTGCCATTTGCTCTGTCCATTTGATACGGTGTGTTGCTTCCGTCCGTTTGATACGATTTAGTAGGTTCCATAGATTAAATTCCCATCTGAGATGTGAAGTGCGTGAAGCATTCTGGCTGGATTGTTTATGGTATTTAGCTCCTTCTTTGTTACTATCTATTAGTACATGATGTTAAGCAGCTTCTAAATATTAAATTTTTAATCTCTTAATATACTTCGCTTAAATGCTCTTGTGCTTAGCATCATACGGCGAATTTCTTGACGTGTTCTAATTGTGAATTAACTTTTGATGTTGACACTCGCAGGCGTTTCAGATCCTCAAGAATGGCGGTGAGAGACGCGATAAGGTTGTCTCTGAGTTATATTTATCAAAGAATCATATACGTATATAATTATTAGTTTTAGATGGCAGAATTTGCTGATTTATACACGTGCGATTCGTGACCAGAGGTATTGTTATTGTCCGACTCTGATAATTTAAATCAACGAATTTTCTGGTCACTAAGCGCACGCGTATAAAATTATATGCATATATATTTATATAATAACACTTATCTTTGAATTACATTTGTCTCTGAATTATAAGAATTAAATAATTCGCGGCTGACATGTCCTTATCTTCGAATTACATTTCTCTCTGAATTATTAGAATTAAATAATTCGCGACTGACATGTCCTTATCTTTGAATTACATTTCTCTCTGAATTATTAGAATTATTCGCGACTGACTCGTAATGTTATACGTGCAGGCAAGTCAGATCCCCAAGAACGGTGGAGGTGAGACGCGACTCGGGACCTGGCACGACTGGGAGGGCGAGGACACCGGGCCACGGGGCAAGTACTCCGCCATGAAGTACACTAACGGACAGGGCTGTTGGAACGGACCTAACCGCTCCACTCTGGTGAGAAAACTGAACACTACAGCCATACTTTTACCATATTAATGATTTTGTCTTGGACGGTAAAATTTTCGTTCATTTGAAGATGCATTTGCATCTAACACATTTGTAATTCTCCACCATGCAATAAGTTGAGACTTTATTTTTCTGTTCTCTTGTTCTTTCTCCTGTTATCTTTCTAAAACTGTTCTTTTAATAATAATGCATGAATTAATCATTTTGGTAATTGTTCACTTGGAACTAATTTCCAATTCTTGTTATTGCAATAACTTTATCGTCAATGCAGATAACGTCGCCCAATCACTTCTTCAGTCGCCGGCTTTCAATAGAATGATTAATTTTTTAAACAAAACTGGACCACAACTTTCTAGCGTGATCAAAACAGCTTCGTAGTCATCTTGCGGTTATCGAACCCTACAAATGTCGTATTTCTATCAAGTATTATACGGTTTTTAGTGCCAAGTGGCGAGGTATGTGCAGTCTCTGCTGTCTGGTGACTGATGTGTCATTGACTGTAAATTAATTTATGTTCAGGTTCACCTGCGGTGTGGCGTGGAGAACGAGCTCATCTCAGCCGCTGAGCCGAGCAAGTGCGAGTACGTCTTCATATTTACAACTCCTGCCGCCTGCGACGCTGTTGAAGACGGCAGTGACGAACATGCACAGCACACCGAGCTCTAATATTTCTCACGTTTGAGTCACATTAGTTTATTGCGTATTTATTTTCAGATGATAATCTTTAAAGTTGTTTTTACATCGAAAAACTTGGTGCAAATATAGCTGCCTGTTTGTCTTTAGAAGATCGTTTCCAGGTTCAGCAGTGAATCATTTATTCAATTTAATTGATGCAGATTGTAATTTATTTCTCAGTTGCCATTTCTACAGGTTTTCAACATTTCTGTCATCATATCAGCTGTACAAAAAACGTTTCAAAATGCAATCTATAGTCATTTTCGGTAAAATCGCCTTTCAAGATCGTTCTGAAATTTCAAAAATTTCACAATCCTCACCGTGTGGGTACAGAGATTATCAGAGATTATTCATATGTTGAAATTATTTCTTTTATACAGTCATAATTATCAAAATGTCTTGGAATGTGCTGGCTATAAATTCATAATGTTTTGATATTAGATGAGAAAAATTTTCATGTTTCCATGCGAAAATTATGAATTTTTTTCTCAGAACTAGATGATAAGAATATGAGTGCTATTGAAGGCCCTTTAAACGAAACTTTTCTTGATGTAGATGAATGTTGATGCCATAAAAGTATCTCTTTTTTTGCGGAGATCTTGTTTTTTCCACAATCTCAGAAGTTTACTGGAAATCTGCAAAAACTTCGTTTACAATTATATTTTTTGCTGAAAAAACTAGGCATAATTTCTCGTAAATGCGCCGCACATTGAGTAATGCACTTGTCGAGATCTGGCTCAATTTTTTCACGTGCTGTCACTCTTCAGTAATACGTCCAATTTTGTGCTATTATTATGTACTCAGTGTGCGTTTTGCGTAATATTTTTGCATCACGTTTTCAAAGTTTTTTCGCCTGAACATTCCATGCTAAGTGACGGACCATTCTCTCATTTAAGAGGTTCATATTTAACAGTTCTGTATTTTATTTAAATACTGCATTCCGCTTCTCATACATTCATGTATTATTAGGTTCCAGGAATCGTTAATTCTTGCCGTGAATTATCTGTTTTCATTCTCAGATGTACTAGTACTAGGTAATGAATGAATGTGTACTAAATAAGAATCAATAGCCTATCATAATCGTTCTACGTTCTTATCCCGAAGTCAATTTTTAATTATTTGGAGCGAAAATCCATTAATAATGAATGTTTAATTCATATTCAGCATTTGAATTTTGCTGTTGTAATTTAAATATCTTTTGCGATTAACCATTTTGGACTTTCGCTCGAATTGCCGTTTGTGAGTATTATTTCAGCGCAGTATTATATTTAACACTAGTTTAAATTGTGTTAACATTATTGCTGCTGATATAATTGCAATTTTTGTGAATGAAGTTTTTCTTTTGAAATGTAAATTTTCTTGCTGTATATGATGTCTGAGCCAGCACGCTGGATCTTGCCGGAAAAGATCAAAGTTAGCCGTTTAATTTTTTTTTTTGCTGTGTGATTAGTTTGAGAATTAATAATTTTTGCTCCTATACAGATCGCTCATTATTTGAATCTGGATCTCGGTTCGGTCGAGATGTTTACTTAGTTACTTGCTACGGGAAGTATTTCGTTAACGGTTGCTGAATTAAAGTTGATTCCCATTCTGCTACTAATTCAGCGTCATTCCCGACGCAAAAATCACCGGCTAAAATTTCTCTTGTGGTTGAAGGTGTTAAATAATTTTCTTATTAAAGTGGTAACCTGTGTGTGTTGGAAAATCGACAAAATTTAATGCATGTGTGCCCTCTCCTAATTTAATTTATTTCTTTATTAACTTTTGATTGTTGAAGTCGGGCTGCTGAAATGGCTCTGGCGAATGATCCCAATGACCTCTTGCTACTGTATACGAGTTCCTTCCAAAATAATGATGTACATACATCATTACAATCATTGGTGACAATACATAAATTAATTTTGTGGTTATTTGATGAAGAGCAAGAATGTCGTTTTGCATTTCATCCTCATACCCAAATAATACGTGTAACGACAATGTAACAGATACGTTAACTAATGTTCATTATTAACTTGAAACATGAAATTTTCGGCACGAATTATTCACACGATTTTAGATCTTCTTTGAACAAAGCACGAAAAGTGAAAGAATCGGCGACAGGCCACTTCAGGCCTACACTTCAGCGCCGACATCACTAACTTATGTTCTGTATCCTATCATAAGTGCATCATCAAGCACGTCTAATTAGTATTCCCGACATCTTTCACTAATAATAGTCGATTATTATGCATATGTAAAACCATTCCTTTGACGCATGCCATGGTCATTGTGGAAGTTGTGATGCATGATACTTACTTTTTTTGAATTTCATTATGGACATTTTATTTTAATTTCACGAAGTCTTTTTTTTAATTTCACTAGGTACTTTTTCTGAATATCACTGATCACTGCAAACTTTTTTGTGACACTTTTTCGTTACTATCTATGAGTCGTGTAACTTTTCCGGTAAATTCATTACGTGATAAAAAATTTTTCATTAGCGTGCAAGTAACCACGCTCTCGTGCAGTCGTAAGTATCCAATAGTTTATTTCAACGTGTGTTTTCGATGGGTTTTTGCAATAAACGTGATGCTCTGTCCGGGCACTTACTCAATTTACCAATCATATTTTTTTTTCGTATCCTGAATTTATTTCCAACTGCGTGTGGGAATTTCTTCCATATGAGGTACAAATTATTATCGTCAATTGATATTATAAGCATACGATGCTATTAGATATTTATTTTTAGTTTTATTACAATACAAATTAAATTGCACAAATGCTTTCGCAAAGCAGGTAATGCCGTCAGGGTTCCGCAAATATTTAATGGAAACTAATGGCGTGTTAACCAACAACCACGTAAATGTGATATTCAAAGCTGAAATTGCGATCCTGCCTGTTTTATTCGACGATGTCTTTTATTGATGCAATTGCTTACGAGAACGTAGCTTCACCTGACCTAAAATTAACAGTTACTGTCAGTGAAGTGACCATGACACTCTGTCGCTGTTTGCGTAACACAAGTCGGGGCACAGCAAGATAGGAGCTGCGTGCTTCGGGTTCGAAACCCTGAGTTGACTGTCAGAATTCTGTGATGTTAGCAGTCGACATCAAAACAACCTTCAGTTGACATTAAAGTAACCCAAACGTGACCTAATCTTTACGCCAACGCCACCATATGGATCACAAACGGTGGATTCATAATTTCAAATGTTAAGCTAGGATAGCCGTTTATTCCGTTCTGTTTACCTTATTCCTGACCTGACCGATACCGCGAAAATTTTAATTGTTGATGGTTCGCCTTCACACATACTCGTAAGATATTTTTAACAATAACATTTTTTTAAGATATCGTGCAGTTCAGGGTAATAAATTGGTATGACGTGTATCTAGGATCCTCAATGCATAATTTCTTCTGCGAAATTTTGTCTATATATCGTATACATTTTTTGACCGAGTATTTAACTTCATTACAGAATATCTCGCCTATAATAGGGACCTGATAAAACTCTAGTAACTATTTCTAACTAACGTCAATTTTTAAATGAACCAGTCGAAGGACCTGATTTTAGATCTCCTGTGAACAAGTAATGAATAGTACAAGAATCGGCGAAAGGCTACATCAGGCCTATTCTTCAGCACGACATAACTATATCGTATGTTATCGTCAGTTACGGAAAGATAGGGTTCAGAAGGCCGGAATAGGAATCAAGTCATGAAAAGTACAAGAATCGGCAACAGGCCATGGGCCTATTTTTTCAGTGCCGATAATTCTATTCTTTTCTATTCGGACTATTCCATTCTATATGATATTGAAATCACTGATCACACCGAACGAGTTAGTGCTAAGATTATAACTGAAAATTTTATGGGCAGCGATTCATTCGGGTTGGCTTCGTACGAAATAGAGAAAATATTTTTAAATATATGAATTTGCATTTAAATACATTATTTAATATAGGTATTTATCAGTTCTCATGACTTAACAGTACCAACGCGATTTTTTGTAGTCGTGAAGATTCGTTAAACTCGAGTGTTAGAACAAGTGTATTTTTTAAAACGAAAACCGTTAACAGTATAGCACCATATTACGATATGTTAAATTTCAGCATTTTGTTTACGCTGATCGCATTCACCTGTTTTCTCATTCCAGGGAATTCGATTTAGGAAAACGTATGTTTCTTGAAATTCTCGGTGCTGCTTTAAATAGTAGAGTTACCCATTCAAAACTTAAACTTCATTTTTGTGTACATTTCGTAATACTTCACACATAAAGCACGGTACATTCTCCAAAATTCGTGATGAATTACAAATATTCGTAGGTTTTTTGAACTGAATTACTAATAGTATTATTCATTGACTAAGCTTTTCCTTGATTGAATATTTATCCATTCCATCTCAGGTTGTTTAATCCGATCCAAAACCAATCCGTAACAGGCGCTCAGGAACAATTTCCTAAAACCAATTTTTGCCGCTGATCTTTCAAGGTGTTCAGGTGTCATCCTTGGAGGTTCAGCAAAACTAGTTATGGAATAGTATTTTCGGTGTTGAGAAGGAGATATATCGCTGCCTTTTGTACTTTTCTTGACTAGTTCACAGATCTAATAGACTGGCCTTTTGATCAAATATTTTCAACGGACTGTAGGTTTAAAATCGTTTGTAGACTTTCAGTTGTTCAGTAGGGTACCAGGCAATGAAAGACAAAAAGCTATGCTCCTGCATGGCCATGTCTAGTCTGTTGTTGAACGCGTTCATACTCTAAAGTGTCAACATCCACGAAGCGATCACTGACGTTTTGTTGTACATCGAACGATTGGATAATGTACTTATCCAAGTTGGAAACACTCTAGAGGACATCGCTTCAGGAATCCTACATTTGTGTAAATGAGTTATACGTGTCAGCAAGAATAATATTATTATAAATTATAATAAAAATTTAATATGCCCTCGACAAAGCTACAAACATTTTTTGTGGGCAAGTCATTGGAATGCCTATATGAGAATGGTACACTACGGAGTTTATAAGTTGAGCGAAAAAATAGTGGATTTTCATTACGTAAACCATCGAATTTATTTCGAATTAGTTGTTGCCCAGTCTGTTATCTAAAACTGGAAATGTAATGTAGACAGAACGAATTGGACAGACGCCTTGCTGCCAGACGTTGATGCAAACTGCAGACGCATAGTGAGCCAGACTGCCAAAGTGCAAACTGCAAACCCGCAGGGTATTGGCTGTTTTGACTTTTGAGAAGTGACGATACATGTGATGATGTGCGGCGGTGCATTTGCTGGAACGCACCTGCATGCTTGGTATGGTAGCAGTGCTAATTCAAATGTTCACATCGTTTTGCTTTCATATTTTATGCTGAAATATATATTGTAAATTTTCTAGTTCAAAACTCTTATTAGTTTTAAGACTGAGTCTAATGTTGCCCTCCAAAGGAAGTTACGAAGTGAGGGCCACATTTGCCGCCAGGCGCCATGATTATTTAGGCTACTAGTCTCACATGCCATGGGTGGGCTACACTACGACTAGGTACACGGATCTACTCACGAGTCACGTTCACGTGCCATCTTAGTGTGAAAGTAGAGACTTTTTAGCGCATTTTCTCATTTATGGAAAAAATGCACTATTGTGCTCGCCATGTCTGTCTGTCTGTCCGTCCGTCCGTGACCTCAAGTTTTCGTCGACGAGAAAATGCGCTCTCTGTCACTCACTTCAGTGAGTAGCTACTGAGTTATATTTTTTATACCAGTCCTCAATAGACCTCTACCTAGTTCACTTTCGAGTCCTATAAGTAGACCAGTAAAGTATCGTAGATACCAATCATACCATCATTATCGTACACAAGAAATTGGTTTAAATCTTGAGTAGATTGTCATTGACTCATTGTACATGAGGAAATTGAAAATGAACTGATTATAAAAAATGTCTGGTTTGTCAGTTGTCACTATGCCCGGGGCTAGGTATATAGGTAGACTAAGGTAGTGATATAAGTGAAATGTGAATCATATCATGGTGCTGTTATTTTATGCATATAACACTTCAATTCAGTGAATTCATAAACAATACACTGAAATGACTGAATACAGACAAAAGG